TGATGAGTGGTGTAGGTCCACAACCGGGATCCGAACCCGCAAACCCGGGCCACTGAAACAGAGTGCATCTAACTTAACTACTAGGCCACAGGGCTGGCCCCTCAAATGACTTTTTTAACTCAATATTCTGTACTTAGAGTGTAGGATACACTCTAAGGACAAAAAAAAGGACTGCAAAGAAATTTTGAAATTTTTATTTAGAGTTTTGTTAGTGGCATAGGCATAATTATGAAACTATGATGTGTGTATTATATGATAATAAGAATTAGTAAATATATGGATGTTGGTAATTTTGTTTCCATTGGAAGTATCAATATGAACTCAAAATTTTTAGAAATATAATTTTTCCTACTCTGTCCACTGAAAGGGCCCAGAGGCAATGACACCCCAGTAGCAATGAGCACACATAGCACCTAGATTTTAGTTCTAAATGCCATTCTCCACAAAAGGAACCAGAGCTTCTTGGAAAATGGGTAATTCCAAGTCCTTAGCAGAGAAAGTACTGTGTGATCCTGGAACACCTTAGGCCAGAAAGAAAGGAAGGGCTCAAAGACTAATGGCTCATCTCAAGAGGATACAGGAATTGGCTTTAGAAGGCTACCACTGGCCAAAAGCACCGAAAAGAATGATGGTAATAGACATTGAATTTTTAAAAATCTGCAAGTCCATGGCAATACTCAGAGAGAGAGAAGGGAAGGCAGCCGTCTACTTTGCAGAATATTGCCAGGTATTAAATTCAAAAGAAATTATAGAATTAGAAAATCACCATTTTACATACCCCAATGTAATAATGTGTTTCAGGCAAGGATCATCAATAGATGCTAAAACTATCAGGTGAAAGCTTCTTGGGGAAAAAGGATATTCATGCAGTCTCGAAGTAGCACATCACAGATTACTTACCACCTACAAAGAAGAAATAATATTTCAATATGGGGATCTGGCATTCGCCACCTCAACCAAGTGATTAAACCTAGAAGCACCGAGCTGACATCAGGTACTCCCTGACTTGATGCAGTAAAGAATGTGCAACACCACCTCTGGTCGCATTATTGTCAAAAATGAGGAAACAATTAGAGAAATAAGAATGTGGGGCATTCTATGAGACGGTTGGCCTGGACTCTTTAAAAAGCCACTGACATGAAAAACAAGAACAAAGTAAGGGAACTGTTCTAGGTTAAAGAAACAAAAATACAATCTGTGTGAACCTTGATTAGATCCTGGATTTTTTTTAAAGATTATTAAAGAAATTTTGAGAAAAAGTAGGGAAAAGTGAATATGGCCTGTATTTTGGATATTGTTGATTTATCATTAATTTTCTTGGGTGTGATAAGGGTATTGTGGTTATGACGTCGAGAGACCTTATTCTTAGGAGATGCAGCAAAGTATTTAGGGACAAAGTCAAGATGTCAGCAACTTATTTTCAAATGGTTCCACAAAAAAGAGCGGGACAGCAAATGTAGCAAAATGTTAACGGTAAAATGTTGCTGGTAAAGCTAAGTGAAGAGTATACAGGTATTAATTGTAATATTCTTTTAATTTTCCTTACAGTTTAAGGTTTTCAAAATAAAAGGTGAATTTTTAAAAATTCATTGATTCAGGGGCCAGCCTGGTGGCATAGCAGTTAAGTTTGTACTCTCCACTTCAGCAGCCCAGGGTTCATGGGTTCAGATCCTGGGCGCAGACATATGAACTGCTTGTCAAGCCATGCTGTGGCGGCATCCACATAAAATAGAGGAAGATGGGCACGGATATTAGCCCAGGGACAATCTTCCTCAGCAAAAAAAAAAAATCATTGATTTGTAAAATTTGAGATCCTGAAGGGGCTTAAAAGATCATTTAATTCACCCCTCACTTTACAAATGGGGAAACTGAGGCCCAGGGAGAGGAAGAGACTTGTCTGAGGGCACACAGCTGGCTACCAAGAGAGCTAGAGTTCATATTCCCTCTTCTCGCAATCAGTGCCACCCATAGCGGGACGTGGGTGGCAGTAGGGTCGGACGTATAGAGGGACTTTGGGAGGAAGGACTCTGTGGAGTCGTGGCAGGAAGGTGGGACCCCCCCCAGCGGGGGCACGTCCTGGGTCACAGCCACAGCCCAGACGGGAGGAGGTTTTGATGTGAAACAGGCAGGCACAGGAGACCCAGGGCTCCACCCAGCTTAACTCCTTTCTCTCTCTTTAAATTCTCTTCCTTATTTTCCTCCTCCAACCTATCCTGTCCACTACCTTTTTTTTTTAACTGATCTATTTTAATGTCACTTAATCATTTGCTTTCTCCACCAAGAACTAACATGACATTGTGCAAATAGTATAAATTTTAGAACTACACAGACCTGGTTTTAAACCCTGCCCTGGGACCAGCCCATTGGCGCAAGCGGTTAAGTGCACATGCTCCGCTGAGGAGGCCCGGGGTTCGTTGGTTCGGATCCCGGGCGCGCACCGATGCACCGCTTGTCAAGCCATGCTGTGGCAGCGTCCCATATAGAGTGGAGGAAGATGGGCATGGGTGTTAGCCCAGGGCCAGTCTTCCTCAGCAAAAAGAGGAAGGATTGGCAGATGTTAGCTCAGGGCTGATCTTCCTCACAAAAATAAAAATAAAAAAAGTTAAAAAAATAAACCCTGCCCTGCCCACTAGCTGTACAACTTAGAATAGTCACTGAATCCTGCTGTCTTGGTTTATTTTTGAAAAGTTACTACTTCCTACCTTGAAAGGATATGGCTTTCAATGATCTAATATGGTTGCTATTGAATGTTTATTGATTCCTTACCACGTGCCAGGCACAGTTGTGGACACTGGGGATAAAAAGACACTTGTTTGAAGGCTGTGTTCTAAGTATTTTATATGAATGGACTCATGTTACTCATCCCCATTTCACAGATGAGGAAACTGAGGCATGGAGGGGGTCAGTATCTTGCCCACAAAGCTAGTAAATGTCAGCCTATTCCCAGAGCCCAGGCCCTTACCATTGCACCATACACAGTGAGGAAAATAAGTCCATGCCTTCATGGGACTTGCATTCCAGAGGAAAGCAAACCTAGAACACTACTGGGACATAGTTTGTGATAGATAAATATGAGTTTCTCTTTCCTTCCCCCAATTCCATGAGGAAAAAGGAGAATCACTTAAAGAGGAAGAGAAGTGATCTGGGCGCTCTCCTGTTTCAATGCCTTCTCTCCCTCACTCAGTAAAGAAAATCAACCATAGTGAGCCCTGCTTCCCCTGCTGTCACTCCCCTTAATCCACAGTCAGCCATTCCCAAACTGGAACAAGCCTCAGAACCACCTGGAGAGCTTATAAACAGTGTATCGTGCCACTCCCAGACTTTCTGATGCAGTAGGTCCGGGTTGAAGCCTGAGAATTTGTATTTCTAGTAAGTTCTCCAGTGAAGCTGATGCAGCCGCTCTGGGCCCACACGTTGAGAACCACTGTCACAGAACAACCCACGAGGCAGGTATTGTAGTTCCCACTGTTAAGGCGAAGAAACTGAGCTTGGGGAAGGCTAGGCGCCTCACCAGAAGCTACATCACTAGTGAGTGACAGGATTTGAACCCAGATCTGTCTGATGCCAAAGCCCATGCTGTTTCCACCACACTTGAGTAAGAGATTTAACACTTTAGGATTTCCCCATTCTATGTCTGTTCTTTTTATTCTAGAATTTCCATTCTTGAGATGCAAAGCAAGGTTCTGCAAGTGCGTAATAGATTTCCATTTCCAATGAGCACAGAAGATGGTTTCTAAAAACTGTTTATAAAATGTTCCTGCCCAGGGGCCGGCCCCGTGGCTTAGCGGTTAAGTGTGCGGGCTCCGCTACTGGCGGACCGGGTTCTGATCCCGGGCGTGCACTGATGCACCACTTCTCCAGCCATGCTGAGGCCGCATCCCACATACAGCAACTAGAAGGATGTGCAGCTATGACATACAACTATCTACTGGGGCTTTGGGGGAAAAAAAAATGTTCCTGCCCATCCACCCAATAATTCCTCTTCTAGAAATCTATACAAAGAGAAGGATCCAAAATATAGCCCACAATACAAAGATGCTAAGTGTTTTAGCAAAAAACTGGGAATGTAAATATCCAAGAATAAGGGACTAGTTAAATAAATTATGGTATATCCAAATGAGGGAATATTATGAAGCCATTAAAAATTATTTATTTAGAATTTTTATGTCAAAGTATTTATAATATTAAATAAAACAGAACACAGAACTAAATTCAATAAGCTCTCTATGTTATTAAAAACACTGAAAAAAGACAAGAAGGAAATAAACAGGACCATTGACAACAGTTGTCTCTACTTCTAATAATTTTCCGTACTTTCCACACTTTCTATAATGAGCTTTTTAAATGAGAAAAACCATGCACTTTCTTTTTGCTGATTAACTATAACAGTTACTCAATTCCTGAATAGCCAGGAAAACCAAACTGAACTTTAAAGCTAAGATTTAATTCCAGGTTACATTTTTCCTAAACCTAGAAGGTACATTTTTCGTGTAAAAAAACAAGAGGAAAAAACTCAAATGACAATCATTATTATGAATACAAATAGAAATAGAAAAAAAAAAAAGACTAGAAAGATACCTGTAAAAATGATAACGGGGATTATTTTCGGTCGGTGGAATTACAGAGCTTTTTAAATCTCTTTTTAGCTTAATTTTTATTACATTTTCTACAATGGACATCTATTACTTTTGTAATAAAAAGTCTTTGCTGTTTTTCTTTTTAAGAGACAACCACCAAGCAAATTACAGCACATCTACACGATGAAATGCCAATAGCCATTTAAAAAATGTTGTAAAAGATTATTTAATAACATAAAAAAAGTTTGACATATTAGCTGACCATACTATAAAACAGTATGCTCAGAATGATCCCATTGTTTTGTTTAAAAACAAACAAAATATGTATGTATACAAAGAAAACACCTTGGAAGGAAACATACCAAAATATTAATAGTGTTTTACCCTTGGGTGGTAGGATTAGAGATTATTCTAACTTCCTTATTTTTGCTTCTGTTATTTTGGCAAATTTTCCTCTATTGAGTATTAGTTACTTTTCCAATAGGCCAAAAAAAAGGTTTTAAAAAAGCTACATTAAACAAAAAAGTTACCTTGTTAAATAAAGGAGAGATAAAGAGATGAGCAGGAGCATCTTATTGAAAGATGCTCCTTTAAAAAAGCTTTTCCAGCTCCAACCCAGCTCTACTTTTTAAGTCCATCTGGTCTTCCAGTGTCAAGAGGGCAGTCAGCATTGATCCTTCCTCCGTTTCTAGAGTTAATAACGCTTGAGCGGGACACTGACTCCAGCAACAGAGGTCACCCCTCTTGATGGGGCAAACCCACATTATCTGGAACCTTTAAACAGGACCCTTGTAGAGAACAGGGTCTAAGGGAAACAAGTGTCAACTGCCTTCTAGAACTATGGGTCTGATTACAAGTAAATATAATTTGCAATCATTTGATGAAGGAAATGCACTATTTATGTTGCAAATAACACACTAACTACAGAATTATACTCCCAGACCTGACAGAGACCTCTGAGATCATCTGAAGACAATCTCCAGGACACTGTCTTTAGGATGCTATGTAAATATTGACTGGAAACAATAACAGAGACGTTCTGCTAGAGAATCTTAAGTAAACAGTTCAAAAGCCTGGCTTCCTGTTTATACAATTTTAAGTTACTTTATTGCTAGCCACAAGGTGATTCAGGACTCTGATTTAATCTAAGAATTTCTTGACTTTACTTATAAGACACACTACAAAGAACAGCTGAAAAGCCAGAAGACACAGGAAGGAAGAAAAATAACACCCAGACATGTGTCTTCCAGCCCAAACAATGAGAAATCTATGCTACTAGATCATCAGTTCAGTCTATTTCCAAATCGCTGTCCTCACTGTGACAGGTGGCAGAGCTACGCACGGACGTCAGCACCAAGACTTCCTTTTCTGGGAGCAAACCAAAATCCTGTAGAAAAGCTTCAAGGTCCACGGCAAAGAAATCTTCCCCCAGCTGGTCAGTGACTCGAACAAAATTGCCAATCAATTCGCCCCCCTTGTAGATCAGCAGGGCAGGAAGGGCATTCCTGGTGAACCGACTGCTGGCCCCAATAACTGAGCTCCTCACCCGGCAGAATTTGACAGCTGGGTACTCCGCAGCAAGGCAGATCATGCACCCATTCATGGCTTCGGTCCCTGGAATGCCGTCCTCATAAATATGGACCATGATGGGGGTGCTTTTCTGTTCTTTATCAATCATGTCTAAAAACCCTTCTCCACTGGGGATCTCAAAAACCTGCTTGAATTGGGGCCCCTTGTGAAGCTGCTGCCGCATCTCCTCCATTCTCTGCTTCCGGTACTGCTGTAGAAACTCTTCATCGTCTTGGTCCTCATTCATCATGGCAAACTCCTTCAGAGTCATCTGCAGGAGGACCAGCAAGTGAGCACAAGCAGCACAAACCAAACACCTGTGATAACAGTCAATACGTACTGCACATTTAAGATACACGAGGCACCATGTTCAGCGCTCAGGAAGGGACTTTTATTACCGCCACTTTACAAATGAGGTTCCAAGACTTGAAATTATTTGCACAAGTTCACACAGATAACAAGTGTAAGACCAAGATTCAAATTAGATTTTTCAAAAACCCAGGCTTTTCAACTACTGCATCACATTGCCTCTCAATCTGGCATCAGTTAATATCACTTTATGAGCTTTTTTCTTTTTGTCAGTCTTGATAATGGATTAATTATTTTACCCACTGTTTGGTTTTTGTTGAAAAGACAACAGGACATTAAGGAACTTTAAAAAGAACACTCATGGGGCCAGCCTGGTGGCGCACCAGTTAAGTGCGCACACTCCGCTGAGGCAGGCCAGGGTTCACAGGTTCAGATCCCAGGCGCGCACCGACGCACTGTTTGCCAAGCCATGCTGTGGCGGCGTCCCATACAAAGTAGAAGAAGATGGGCACTGATGTTAGCCCAGGGCCAATCTTCCTCAGCAAAAAGAGGTGGACTGGCAACAGATGTTAGCTCAGGGCTGATCTTCCTCACAAAAAAAAACCGAACACTCATAATCCCTGCCCTGCACCTCCACACACACATACACAACACACAGTCACACACACTCTCTAAAAGTGTAGTTTTCTTTTTATTACCAGTCACATGCTGAAATTGTTTTTGCTTTTATAACAGCAGTTGTGGGTGTGCCAATTAAGCTATAACCTGCTTTTGCCACTCAGTATTATTATATCATAAATATTTCATGTTTCCAAATATTTTTTTATAAAATTATACATAATGTGCCACATTTTGCTAAACCACTCCCCTATTTCTGGCATTCAGACAGTTCCCAGTTCTGTTCTACTGCAGACAACTCAGCAGGACACAGACAGTCTCTCTCAAGACCGCCCATGTGACCATGTGATGTGTCGCTTCGTCCGGTCTCTCACCTCACATGAGAAAGCACTATGAGCAGTGGGCACATTGCCCTGCAGCCAGCTTAAGTGACAAAAGCATCTTCCTTCTCCTGCCCCGGTGCAGCAAAACATCCCTGCTCCTGTAATAAAGCCTAGCTTTGTGTAACCTGGCACAGAACGGAGGGTGGAGGCTGAGGGACCACACTAGATCAAAATAGATGTTACTGCATCATAGCAGGCACCATTCTGAATTCACTGTTTTACTTCTCATGCCCAATTTTCTTCCCATCTCAGAGCTTGCCACTCCACCTCAGCCTACTAGAAAGGCTCTTTCTGACCTATTACGATTTTTGCTTGAGTCTAATGCCCGGAAATCATCCTCCTGGTCAAGGTGAACGACTCCTCACTTAATCCTCTTATCTGCTCTCTGATCCTGGCTAGTATTTCCAGCCAAGAGCTGCTTTGGGCCATAGCCAAATGATCTCATGCACTCCGCAACATTTAGCCGTGAGGAAATAGAGGGTCCTTTTAACTGGGGAAGGTAAGAGAGAGTCAGGGACCTAGTCCCAAATATCTTCCAGAGTGTCCATTTGCTTCTATTGTATTGCCTCATTAGAATAAATTCTCATGAATTGGCTTCAAGTGAGACAGAGCAGCATTACAGAAAAAGTAGGAAAATCTGGCTTAGAATTCTAGCTCTTACTAGCATTTACTAGTTGCATGACCCTGAGCAAGTCCCCTCCCCTCTCTATGGATCAGTTTTGTCATCTGTAAAATGGGGATAATACCACCAACCTAAGAGAGTAATTTGTGGCCCAAGGTAAGACCTCAATAAAGGACAGAAAACTCACATTTACTGAGCACTTTCAATGGGCCAGGCACTGTGATGGGCACTGTACCCACAAAGCCCTGTGAGGTAAGGATATTGACCTCATGTAACCAATGACAAATCAGATGCATCTGATTTGTCAGATGAGTGGAAGAGGCATCCCCATGGTCACTAGTGGCAGAGCTAAGATTCAAAGACAAGTGTGTCCAAGTTATGACATGACTCTATACTTTCCCCTGCCCTGCACAGCTTCTTGGAGGCCAAACCCAACACCCTACACCTCTTGAGCCACTAACCCCAGTTCCAGCAGCCAGGACAGCTTCTGAGAAAAGCCCAGTGCTGCTAATTACCTTCCCACTGATCTTCTCCTGGAGGTCCCTCTGTTTCTGCTGCTCCTCCTCTTCGTCCAGATGGGACCTGCAGGTCATTGACAGCTTCTTGATCAGCCTCTCCATCTCCCGGCACTGCTCCTCCCTTTGCTCTGTCTCCAACTGTTTGAAGCGGCGCCAGTCATTGATCACACCTTTCGGACCTGAGTTGGGGGTGACCATGGAGGTGACCAAGAAGAATGGGCAAGGAATTATGGACCAGCTCACACCTGTCTAAAGCCTGCTCCACCAACTGCACAGAGATGCTCACAGGGCATCGTGGTCTCCACACAAGGATGTACACTGCAGCACCGTTTGCAATAACTAAAGGACCAAGCTAAGGCCCAAAAGTAGGAGATGTGTTAAATAAATTATGTTTCATCTACTCAAAGGAAAATAAAGCAACCCTTAGAAAGAACAAGGTAGCTGTTTCCTACCAAGACAGATGTTCAAATATATTCGGTCAAAAAAAAGAACAAAATGCAGAACAATATCACAGTATGATCTTTCGATTTTTAGAAAAAGAACTGTATGTGTATGTATAAACATTTATAGATATTTATATATGTGCGTGTACATTTGTATGTTCACAGAAAAAGAGCTAGAAGGACACGTAAACTATTGACAGTGGTTGTCTCTAGGTAGTGGGATCTAAGGGGACTGGTGAGAGAACTTTCACTTTTTTCTTCCTACACTTCTGTGTTATCTGAATTTTTATAAGATCGTGGCAGGTAGTTCTGTTTTTCAAGCTAGCCCCAAACCTTCCTGCCCTCATGCTATATATCCCTGCCCCTTGCCATGTGACTTGTAGCACCTCCTGTGGGATGAGTACATGTATCCCCAGCCCACTGATGTTAGGTTTGGTCACGTGACTTGCTTTGGCCAATGGATTCTGAGCAAAAGATTTATGAACCATTACATGTTTCCAACAGCCCTTTCTTGCTCGCTACACTTGGTCATGAAAATGACATGTCCCAAACAGGGATGCTCCTTCAGCCTAGTTCCTAGAATGAGAGGACACGTGAAACAGAAGCAGAGCTGCTGCTGACCCACACAGGCAGCGAGTAACATGACGGAGAGAGAAACTTTTGTCATCATCAGCCAGTGAGATTTTGAGGTCATTCGTTACCACAGAAAAAAACATAAAAATCTATATGAAGAAAATTTTAAAATGCTACCAAAAAACAGTAAGAAATACCTGAATAAATGGAAAAGCAATACCATATTCCTGACTAGGAAGACCCAACATCACAAGGGTGCCAATTATCCCTAACTAATCCATATATTTAATGCATTCCCAATGAAAATATGTGATTACAGACATGTGTGCATGCTCCTAAATTTGCTTTGGAAAAATAAGACAGTAAAACTTAGGAAAAGAATGACATAGAAGAGTATTGAGAGGGGACCAGCCCTACTAGATACTAAAAAATAACACAATAATTAAAAACAGTGTGATATAGCACAGTAAAAGACAAATCAATGGAAGAGACTACAAACTACAGCTAAAGACACAAATATAAACAGAAATTCAGTATATGATAAAACTGACATTTCAAAGCAATGGAGAAAAGATGGCTTATTCAATAAATGGCATTGAAACAACTGGGTAGCAATATGAAAAAAATTAAGTGGGAGCCCTACCACATACCTTGCATCAAATGAATTTCAGATGAATCAATATTTAAGTGTAAAAAGGAAAAAGATGAAATCATAAAAATACTAAGAAAACACAGGAGAGTGTCTTTTTTTAACCCTGGAGTGAAGAAAAGCCTTTTAGGTAAGAAACAAAACTATGAAACTATAAAATAAAGCTTTCAAGTACATAAAAATGAAAATTTTCTGCCAGGAAAAGAACATAAAGTCAAAAGACAACAAACTGGTAGAAATATTTGCAATTCATACCACAGCTTAATTACTTTAATACATAGCTCCATAAGAAGAAAAAGACCAACCCCATAATTGAAAAAATGAACAAAGGCTATGAAAACATCTCTTAAAGTTATGAAAAGAGGTACAACATCACTCTTAAAAAGACAGAAAATAAAACTACAACGAGTTGCAATTTGTCATCCATGAGGATGGCAAAGATCAAAAAGTTTGATAACACAGTAGGAGGGTAGTGCATGGGGAAATATATGCTGCTTAAGCTATAAACCAGTGCCACCTCAACTGACAGCAATTTGGAATTACTAAAATAAAAAGTGTAAATATGCCATTTCTAGGAATTTATACTACTAATATACTCACACTTATGACTATGTGATACCAAACAACCACTCATTTGAGCAGCTGAATTCAAATACGGGCCAGTCTGTGTTATGACCATGTTGCTACACACACATCTCTGTACTGTGCAGTGAATGGCTGGAAGCAGGCACAGTGAAGTGGTTATCTCAGGAAGTGAGACTGGAACTAGAGAGAAGTGATCAGGAGACTTCTAACTGATACCTATTTAATGGACATTTTTAAACCTGTTCCCAGAGCTCAGGGATTTCCAGTACCTGTGTTAACTGAGATGCCTTCGCCTGCCAACTCAGCATCCGCAGGCATCGAACTGCCAGCCAGGGCACCTCTGCCTCCGTCCTTGTCCTCGCGGTCGCTGTCCTCATCCTCACTGCTGCTGTAATAGTACTGCAGCTTCTCCCCCAGCAACTTATCATCCAGGGTTGTCATGGTGCCTGGGAGAGGGCAACTGATGGCTCTTTGCTGGTCTGAATCAGAGATACATGAATCTGAAGGGAAGGGGTTCACTTGTGCTGGATCCTACTATTTTACAGGACCCTAAAAGTGATCTTTTTCATAAACAAGATCTCAGCAAATCTGTACCATGACTCTGTGTGATAAGGTTTATCGCGCTCTTTCTACAGAAGGTAAAACTGAAACTCAGATGATGAAAGTTTCTCTGCCAAGCTTTACAGCAAATAGTGGAGCTGGGATCAGACCCAGGGATGCCTGACTCCAAGAGACTGAAGGTATGAGTCACACTGTCTTCTGAATAATGGACACTGTGCTAGTGTGTTGGCTTGGAGGAATCCACTTAACGACTGGAGGTTTTATCTACTTTTAGGTTTTCCTATCAAGACTGCTAGTAATTGAAAAACTTGGTAAGAATCTTCAGGAAAAACTCTAAAAGCAGCATCAAGAGTATGATGCTAAGTCACTGTCTTAAGTCAATCACTGCCTGTCTCTTGCCTTCAACCTCCCAGTCAGCACACTGAGGGTTTGGATGGATGGTTATACTGTTACAAATTGACTCTCCCACGGGGCACAGAGCTCTTGAAAGCAGGGATCTGCAATGCACAGCACAAGGCCTCTGCACCATTTGCTAAGCCCACAGACAGCCTGGATCAGTGTGGAAATCTGGGGACCCTGGCAGTCAGATGGGGAGAGGGGTGCAAAAGAGGCAGCGTTGAGAGCAAAACGCAGGTATCAGGAGCGAGGAAGAACCAAACTTCAAAGGGGGTGGGGGGGCCAAGGGAGTGCAGAGTGGGGAGAGTGACTGGGTGGAGGTGTGCCCAGTGAGGGCGGGGCCGCTGAGCGGGATGAGGCAAGGTCCGGGCCAGCGGAGAGAAGCAGGCGGGGCCCGTTGAGGGGAGCGCGGCGATGACGGGAGCAGCTGAGGGGAGCGCGGCGAGGGCGGGGCCCGCGGAGAGGAGGAGACTGGACCAGAAGAGGGGAGCGCGGTGAGGGCGGGGCCAGCGGAGGGGAGCGCGGCGAGGGCGGGGCCCGCGGAGGGGAGCGCGGCGAGGGCGGGGCCCGC